ATTGTTTCAATGAGTTTTTGGGTAATTGGTTCCAGCTCACCGAAAATTTCCTAAATTCAACAAAAATGGTAGAAAAGTTCACTTACTTTGAGGTGTGTATGTAGAAGGCTCCTGGATGATGATGATGATGATGGGAATTACAATGGGGGTGGAGGAGAAGGAAGAAGAGAAGGCATTGGGGTGGAAGAGAAGTCACCCCATGGCACCATTTCACCCATAAAATTTTAGTTCTCTTGGTGTATTTCAAGATTATTTTCTTTAAATCAACACTGTACTGCATTATATAATGTCAATATGTAAAATATATTTCAAAATGACCAATAATTTGCTTGGAAACACAGAAAAAAGCGTTTAGTTGAAGAGAGTCTCAAGCAAGATGTTACCTACAGTGAAAACAGAGAGACTAGCGCCTGTTTGCTGTGTTAAGAGGCTGGATGCTGCGCTTTAAACTAGTCACTTTACCTTCAATTATGTTCAATAATTGTTAAAATGACTAAAAAATTGAATATTAAACTTTTAAAATTATTGAATAGTATAAACTTCTTGATATTTACTAAAATAGTTAGAAATTTAAGCCCTAGAACCGATTAATGTATTGGCGGACTGATACTAAAGCTGGTTGCCCGGCCAGTGCAAGCGAAAACATGTTGAGGTCGGTTCGTAAGAAATTCGTTAACCGAATTTTTGTTCGTTAACCGAATTGAAGATCCTTATGGAAGGCAGTTCGTTAACCGAAATTTCGTTAACCGAGGCGTTCGTTAAACGAGGGGTCACTGTATATACAGCACAGTAGAATCCCAGTTATCTGGCACCTATGGGGATTGAGAGGTGCTGGATAAAAAAATTTCTGGTTAGTTAAAACTCACTCTTAGGATCCTCCAATAATCCTTCAATGCACAGTGGTACAGGCTGACCTTACAAAATCGTGTCAGAAAAACGGACTTTAACACTTATTCCACTATAAAGTACAGCATGTGGCTTAGAAATATAGAAAATATAATATAAAACTATAAAATAAGAAAAATGCAGAGCATGGATGTGTGGGAAATGAACGTGTGTGGTGATGGTGGGCTATAACTGTGGCCTGCTCGCCGGCTCAGTTGTCACATTTATTGGTACAGTCATCCCTTGGTTATAGCACACTTGGTTATCGCGATTTTCGTTATCACGCCTCCATCAAAATCTGCACACCTGCCGTCATAGCGCATTTTTCAGGCCGAGAATTTTTTTTTTTTTAAATGAAGTATGTGCTGTTGTACTTTATGATATGCTATGTATTGATTTTATTGCTTACCATAGCAATAAATATGGCAGCTAATCCCTGTTGTGTTCAGTATTAAAACTTACACTAATCACTCATTTGGGAGGAATTTTTATTTTCATTGTTATTTAATTTAGGTGCTAGTTAGTTGAATCTACCAGTTGCCCAGATATTGGATAACTGGAATTCTACTGTACTAGTATATATACTGTAGTTACAGTTGCAGGACTTGTTATCTTCTAGGAGAAATGTCCGAATCATTGGTAAAAGAGAAGTTGACTGATGAACGACTTCACTTCCGTAGCTTTACAATTTGATGTGACATTCCTGTTTCAGAGCACACACGCACATTGTTGTCCTTACTGTTGTATGTGTAAATTATATCAATGGCTGGCAAGCTTAAAAGTGAGTATTTTGTGGTGCTGAGAAGAAAAAGAGAGACCCATTTTCGATTTTCTATGCATTATTTAAGCATTTCCGACTTACGACCATTTCGACTTACGACCTGGATGTCCGTCCCTAACCCCGTCGTAAGTCGGGGAGCAACTGTAATTAATATATTTGGGTATTGCAGATCATCAAGTCACAAGATGGTGTGTGTCATGCCCCGGCACTGAAGCCTGACAAATGGGTACCACTTACCCTCAAGTCATACACTAATGTGAGTGACAAGATGGGAGCTTTTGTTTTCTCTCTGCCTCATGATACTGACCATACAGGATGCTTTGCTGGACAGTATGTTGTGGTAAGTGAACCACCCACATCACATTATGTGTAGAATAACTTATCAAGGGGTTGACTACTAAACACCTGTGCTTTTTTTTTTTTTTTTAGAAAGATGCTGATAAGATGCAAGGTGAAAATAGGTCCAAGAGGTCATAACAAAGACATTCAGAATTTACTTGTATGTTGAATTAGCCAACTAGAGAATCTCTGGTAGTTTTATTCCAACCAAAGTAACACTGGAATAATAACATTGTAGTGAAGATAAATAAGCTATCAGCAGTGAGACTACTTTTATGCTTCTGGTACAGCTTGGTGGTACTGCTGTAATGCACTTAACTCTCACCAATATGTCAAGGGTTCAAGTCTCGGCTCGGACACACATGAGAAGGGTGTTATCCAGTGTGACCATACCAAACACCACAGGTTTCCCGGTCCCCAGTTTCCTCCTGTACTAACACTGGATAGAGCGCTCAAGTGGCTAGTAAGCGGTGACATAACACTGTTTATGTCTTAAAAATTATAACTGACAAATGGGCCCCATTAGAATTGTTGCATTTCCACTGCATTTGAGTGGTGGAATTTGTTTGAATGAAGTGCTTCACCAGGTTAATTCTCACTGGTAGGTCTTAGTGATGCATCATTCGAAACTTTTTGGCATTACCTGTAAGACAGGGAAAAAATAATTACCGTAGCTATGCTAATACTGCTTCTGGCCGTAATTACAAATGTGTCGGATATAAATGTAACGCCCTGTATTATCCATGCTTATTGTATTTTATTGCAATACCTTTTAATCTACTAGTTTTAATAAATTTGATCATTCAATATAACTGAAATATGCTTCTCATTTTCAGAGTTTTGGTTTCATCATTGAGTCTTAAGCATTTAGATAAGTACAGTATCATTATATCTCTTTCAGGTTAAAGTTACCATCAAGGGGAAGGAACAGCTGCGTTACTTCTCACCTGTGTCTTGTCCAACTGACTATGGTTGTATTGAATTGGTTCTGAGATTTGAGACACAGGGGCTTATTTCTAGGCACTTCCAAGCCCTTAAACCAGGTAAGAGAATTCCTTAGTATTGCCCTACCCATAAGATATACGATACTACCACAATCATTTGTTACCATTAGCATCATAGTTAGTTTCTGTAGGCCTGTCTACAGATATAAAGGAAAGCTATGCCAACAAGGAAATGTCACTTCAGTTTATATAGGCTATTAGAATTTATTTTTTTGACACACCTTTACCACTTTCAGAGAAAGGGGTTGCATACAGACTTCCCCTTCTTGATAGTTTAATTTGCATTAGGTGAAATAGTCACATGGATCTATCTCTCTTTAAAAATTTTATTTGCATTCATTGAATATTTTTGGTAATTTTATTTTCATTTTACCTGTAGCTATTTGCATTGACTTATTATACTTTCACAGCAATTACTGTAGTCCAAATGATGAATACAGGTATGTTGGAGGTAAATAACGAATGTGTGAAATGACAATGGGAGATAAATACCATATCTGTTTTAATGTGCTTGCAGTTGCACTTAATAGGATGATATGATTTAATTCTTTTTTCTCAAAGGATTGAACTTTGTTTGAAAAGCCTCATTTATCCTCAATATGTACAGATTTATGGCTTTTGTAGTAGCATGTCAGAAGTGATTACAAAGAATCATAAGCCATAAAGTATTCTATACTTTATCCTCTTTGCCACTGATCTGCTCATTGGCCGTTTGGGCAGTCATTCACTTCTGTTATGCACTGTTGGCATGTACTGGCTCCAGAATTTATCTGTACCTGTGCCAGTGTTGGTCTGGTCTTGAAAGAGTTCGATAATCAAGAAATATTGTACAGTACTCTAAAATGGTTAACATGTGGTCCAAAAATTGCCATCTTGGATTGGAAACTGATGCTGGCCTATCAGTCAATGAAATGTGATAGCAATGAAATTCTGCTACCCTCATTCAGCTGGTTGCCCCTTTATGACCATATTCCCAAGTCATGTGACTTCAGTGGGTTGAGGCTCAACAACTGTCAACATAACTTACAAGTTTTGTCATTTTTCTGCCTTTGGGAAATACACTGATCTGCTTTTCAAAATAAATAAGGATACTTACATTGATCATTATACCATTTGAAGCCATCTGAGTGGTCAGGTTGAGTCGTATAAACACCTGATTATCAATCATTATTGCACTCTTCTGATTTTATCAGTGTGACAGCATCTCCAATAGTGCATCTCTGTTTATTAACCACCACACTTTGTCATTTTCATCACTTTGACATATAAAACATTCGTGGACTAACATATTACATACTTCACTGGTTGTATGTCATTATACAGAAGTAAGGTACAGTTGCAGCCAAAAGTAATCATTCACTCCACCACCTAACCCCTGAAACTGACCTGGTCCTTTCTGCACAGTCCTGTAAGTCACGTGGGGTGGAGAAGGGAAATTGGTTGAATTGGGGGATGGATGTGGGAGGGTGGTATGTAGTGGAAGTTGCTCATCAGAGAAGGAGAAGATTGAAGAAAATGGGGGAAATTTATGAAACACTTAAGGGAAGGATGGATGTAATTTTTTTCACTGTGCTTAAAAGAGTAATAGATGAGGACCTTTATTTTATCATTATTATAATGTGCATCCATTTCCTTATTTATTATTTTTTCAGGTTGTTCAGGTTTTAAATACAGTAACAGTAATTAGATATTTATAATAACGTTGATATGAGGAGAAATATTGAATATGAGGATAAAAATCATGTTTATTTTTAATATTTACCAGCACAGGTCATACAGAATCTCAATAGCCTGTCAAATGTCAGCAAATCATCAAAAATACTCCCAGCGGGTTAACTAACATCTCAATGACTCCAACTTCCCTCTCATTTATGGCATGTTGTAGCCAGCCGTGCACAAACCGATAATTTGCCTGCGACTCACCAATGGACATTCTTTAGCCTTCATCCTGGACTGGGTGTGGAGCAGTGGGCAAACACACTTGCCACTACCACCTCATCACCTCACATTGATTTTCACGACTCTAATAAACATATTATAGGTTGGACAAGTTGCATTCTATCCAACAATTCAGTCATAATTTTTTTTTTTTTATTAATTAATAGTGATTTTTTTCCTCAAGAACAGCAGTGACACAAGGTGGATGTGCTCAAATAATAATTCATTCTTATTTTTTTTCTTCAATTAATGGTGAAATTTGGTGGGATCAACTACTATAATTTAGTACGTTCAGAAGAACACAAAAACCCCAACCGATCTTAGCTAGTACAGTAAATAGCATTCAGAAAAATTTCATTAAAATCATCCAAGAATCATTACTACCACTAATTACCCCGCAATCGAATTGTTAACCATAGATTCTGAATCAACATGTTCAGGAGTACCTATACTGATATTTTGAACAAAATCCCAGTGATCACAAATTTTTGGCCCAAATTGTTCACCATTTATGGTTTTTCAAGGTTGCTTTTTGGTGTTTATATGTTATTCTGGATATACAGTCATGCGCTGGTTAACTTCCGACCGAACAACGTCCAATCGCATATACGTGATGCCTGCTGGACCACCACTCCACGACCCCCTGACGGAGACACGATGATCCTCCCCATACTGGTCAGATATTATGTGTTAAAGGAATATGCTTCCTTACTTAGGCTTTTTTTAAGCATTTGCCTACAGGCAAAATGTTAACCTACATCTATTGATGATAAAATATTTCACCTACAAATTGACAATAACACATTGCTGTAATCAGACATATCTAGTTGCCTCAACAATTGCACCCCCAATTGCAATTGGGGTTGCATTTTCAAATTCTATGGCATTACTAAAAATAGTAAAGTTTCTGGTGCACTCTAAGATTAAGAGAGAAAACGGAGGACTCAGGCGTCCTGATGTGAGAGAAAACGGACTCGTATGACGGGGACCAAATAAAAAAAGCATAGCTACATGTTTTGTGGACTGCAGTATTAAGCGTACCCTTTTCATCACTTTGTAATAGACCTAGTCATGCCTATGTGTGTTTATGATATTTACCATAACATTATATATATATTTAGTGGGTCTAAATGGTCGTAAAATGGGAACCTTGGGGTTGGGTCTTGGGTGCCTGACCCAATTAGAATAAATCCCATAGGTTCTGTACTTTCGTTGTCGGCGGGGTCTCAATTAGGCGCGATAACCAAGGGATGACTGTACTGTACTGTACAGTATATACTTGTGACACTGGCCAGTTGCTTCTGGTGTTATGGTACAGGGATACCAAGTGACAGCACAAGGATCCCGCTTCCTCTATCAAGGAATAAACAATTAAAATTTAAATTGAAAAAAAAAAACATTCAAATAAATTACTATCTTACAAGAATCCCTCCAATGTAAGTTATATTTACCCAGGTCGTTTGGGTGGAAAATTATGAGAAGAGCTTAGTCAATCTTAAGTAATAATAAATAAACATGCAGGCAGGCCTTCAGCGCCAACTGTGAAATCTTATCTCAAATAAATAAATAAATAAATAAACAACCAAACAAACAAACAAACGCCAGACATTCTGTCACCTCACCTCCCCCCCCCCCTCGTGTTCCAAGATAAAAGAATGGTGATTTCTTTGTTTATTTTATATAATATCTCCGACTAAAGTTAGGACAATATAATTTTCATTGCTGAAATCCTTGCAAGACAGAGATTAATTTGAATATAAGCGTCATATATTTTGCTCAAGATATAAAAAATGTAGTACATTAGTGTACAATACTGTAGTACATTTTATAAAAAGTTTTTCAACTGTATTTTTGGGTAGATTTACAGAAATTTCTTCATTTATTTTCATCCATTTACATTCACACACCATACTAAAAGAAACGTAAAATAAATTAGTGCAATGCTGGAGTGCACATGTACTAATTTGATTACGGTACTAAAATTGTTATGTCAAGTGCGAATTACAACATGTTTATATTCAAATAAATCAGTACAGGTTGTACCTCTCTAGTCCGGCAACCTCGGGACCTGACCGGTGCCGGACCATGGAAATTCACCCTTTTCCTGGATAGATAGTGACTTGTGCTTATGCCTGGAAGCACTAGCACCATTTTCTCTGCGTCATGGTCTCTTTGAAGACATATTGAAGGGTTAAATGTCGTATAGTAGCTTCTCAAATTTCGCGAGTTTTTAATTCTTAACGTATTTTATTGGAACACACAAAAAAATAAATAAATAAAAATTTTGACGGCGGAAACTTGAATTTCGACGGGTTTGAACGGCCCGCCAACGTGCAGACGACATGCATAATCGTGTAAACAGCGTCATTTCTCTTATGTACAAAAGATTCATTATTGTTTATTACTGAATGTCTTTTTTATTGAATTAATGTTTATGTGTGCAAAATGAGCAATACAATTCATTAATAATACGTAGAAAATTAAAACACATGAGGAAATGACACAACATTGTTTTCGTTGATTACAAAACCAGTTACTGACTGGTTCTACATATAAAACTGAAGAAAATAAGACCTTGGTTGTAGCTGTAGTAAAATAAATATGGTTGTTTTAAGTAATGTTATTTAATGTTAATAAATGGAACAATAGAAGTAGCCAACGATAATGGTAAAGAAAAAGAGAGATCGCATATGTAAGTGCGCATGCGCACACGTGAAAACATATCGTCATTACTTTACATAAGAATATGAAAGCAACACTTATTTACTGTTCATATATATTTTAATTAATGTTTCTGAATTTGTTTTTATTGAATTAATGTACGTGTGTGCAAAATTAACAATACAATTTATTAATAATACGTGGAATATTAGAGGAGACGAGACGGCTGCCGGCATTGTTTATGTTAAAGCTTACGAAACCAGTGACTGATTGGTTCTACATATAAAACTGAAGAAAATAAGACCCTGAGTTTAGCTGTAGTAAAATTAATGTAAAAAATGAATATGGTTGCTTGAAGTACCTGTAATGTTATTTAATGTTAATAAATGGAACAATATAAGTAGCTAACCATTAATGGTAAAAAAAAAAGTGAGACTGCTCGTATGTAAGTGCGCACATGTGAAAATATATCGTCATTACTCTACATAAGAATATGAAAGCAACACTTATTTACTGCTCATATATATTGAAGGGTTAAATGTTGTACTCTGTATAGACAAGCAGAGAGAGAGAGAGAGAGCAACCGAACTGCCGGATGTAAACAAACCTTAATTTCCCGCGGCTTTTTTTTTTAAGGGGATTAGCCCACCCGGGAATAGGTCACTGACCCACATTAGGGCCTGAGGGGCAAAAATTTAATACTCCTGTAATAATAATAATTCAGATAAGTAAAAAAAAAAGAAAAAAAAAGAAGCTGCCTATCTACCTATTGGACAAACTAAAATCGTTCCGGACCACGGGAGTTTCCGGACCACAGAATGCCGGACTAGAGAGGTACAACCTGTACTATTACATTTTCACCCCCTAGGCCCCGATGTGGGTCAGTGACCTGTGCCCGGGTGGGCTGTTACCCAAAACCAAAACAAAAACAAAAACAAAAAATAAAATTGCTCCACAAAAAAACATTCTGTTTTCAGAGCTTTTCGGTTTTTGGAATTTCGGATAAAGGGTTGTCAACCTGTATATATATATATATATATATATATATATATATATATATATATATATATATATATATATATATATATATATATATATATAGTGAACCTTCGCTTTACGGGTCAATTGAACCTTGAACCCACGGAGGCCTTCGTAAAGCTGGAATCCTTGCAAGACAGCCAATAATTTGAATATAAACGTCATATATTTTGCTCAAGAGATAAAAATTGTTGTACATTAGTGTACAGTACTGTAGTACATTTTATAAAAAAGTTTTTCAACTGTATTTTTGGGTAGATTTACATAGATTTCTTCATTTATTTTCACCCATTTACACGCACACACCATACTAAAAGAAACATAATAGAAATAAATGACCTCAGTGCAAAGCTGGAGTGTACATGTACTAATTTGATTACGGTACTAAAATTGTTTTGTCTGGTGCAAATTATAGCATGTTTATATTCAAATTAATCAGTGTGTTACAAGAATCCCAGCTATGTTAATTATATTCACCCAGGTCATTTCCCTGACTTTTTATAAGAGAGAAGCTTGGTCACCTAAGAACTGATAAATATATACGCGTTAGACCTGGGCCTGTGCCAACTGTCAAACGCACTACCTCCCCCCATACCCCCTCGCTCGCTCCCACCCTCTCTCTTCCCCATCTGCTTGGCGTTGCTGGAATCCTTGTAAAACAGTGAATAATTTTAATATAAACGTCATGTATTTTGCACAAGAGATAAAAATTAATAACCTGTATCACATTACAGTAGTGATTTAAGAGTAAAAGTGTATATATACGTATATAGTATTCCACATACACGTAAGTATAAATAAAAAGTTTATGTGATGATCGGACAACGTCCATCTCGGTTTATGTCACGTTTCCAAGAACGTATCTAGGACGTTAACCGGTGCATGACTGTATTACATTAGATCTAAAATTTGTATGTCTAATGCAAAATCCATGATGTTTATATTCAAAGTGATCATCATATTGTAAGAATTCCAGCAATGTAAATTATATTCTGGCCGGGTAATTTGTATGAATTTTATGACCTAAATAAAAAATTATACTTCACCCGCGTATATGAGTAGATGCACGGCGTAAATCGGGGTATTACTGTGTGTGTGTATATATATATATATATATATATATATATATATATATATATATATATATATATATATATATATATATATATATATATATATATATATATATATATATATATATATATATATATATATAATCGTATTTGCCGGCATATAAGACACACCCCTATTTTACAAGGATATTTTGTGGATTTTTTTGCATGTTTTGTCATACAATTATTGAAAGTGATTTTAAAGTGGTTTTGTCGCGGAAAACATGATTTTGTGCATGTAAATACAGTAAAGCCTCCAATAACAATGGTTCAACCAACAGCTTTTCATATTTAAGACCCTAGTTAATTTAGGACCCAATTCAGTTTACGTCCTTATTTCATTCGTATTTACGACCAAAATATACCGGTAATAAAAATATAATAAAATTCCATTTTCAT